AACAGCTATATTTTAATGGTCAGGAGAAAGAGTTAATGAAGGGATCAGAGAGCTAAGAGGATAAAGAATAAAACACTGATGTCAAATGAGAAGAGTTTCCAAAAAAAAAAAAGAAAGAAAAAACTAGGTGGTCATTGGGAGGCTGACCAACAGTAATACAACAAAAATAGCCGGGCGCGGTGGCTCACGCCTGTAATCCCAGCACTTTGGGAGGCCGAGGCGGGTGGATCACGAGGTCAAGAGATTGAGACCATCCTGGTCAACATGGTGAAACCCCGTCTCTACTAAAACTACAAAAAATTAGCTGGGCATGGTGGCACGTGCCTGTAATCCCAGCTACTGAGGAGGCTGAGGCAGGAGAATTGCCTGAACCCAGGAGGCGGAGGTTGCGGTGAGCCGAGATCGCGCCATTGCACTCCAGCCTGGGTAACAAGAGCGAAACTCCGTCTCAAAAAAACAAAAACAAAAAAAATACAACAAAAATAGTAAGAATTAGATAAAGAAAAGTATCAGATTTCACACTAATCCAGAGGGCCTTAGACAACAAAAAAAAAAATTGAAACTGAAAATAAAACTGGATTTTACATTCTTCAAGGAAATACAGGAAGGAAGAAACCAGGGTAAAAAAGGGTTAAGCAGTAAGTGGGTAGTTGGGAAACAGAGGTAAGTAGAGATGACTTAAGAAGCCCAGTCATGGAGGGAAAAAGAAAAACAGAATGACAATTTTAAAGAATAATACAATCAAGGAAGAATCAAAGGCTTTTCAGTTTTTGCTTTTATAAACCTTGGAAAGGTCCAAGAACATTTGTAGGCTATGGGAAATAATCCAAAAAAGGAAGAAAAATCTAAAGAAGCAACATAGAGAGGAAACAATTAATGAAGCAAGGTGCCAGGGAAAGAAGGAAAGGAAGACACACAAGGTATAAGTACAAGACTTTTTGGACACTGTTATGAGAAAAAACAGAGGGAGCAGAGGCTTTTTGTGGCAATTTTTGAGGGGGCTTACAATGGGGACTCTTGGTGGATGGTTTCAATCCTTTGAATGGGTATGAAGTAAAATTATTGCCATAGAATAAAAGGGTTAGGGGTTTAAGAACAGCAGAAAAGGATTAAAACAGGTACTACAATGAAAAGGCAAAAAAGGGATGAACAGACTGTAACTCAGCAGCAAATAAGGCCAAGCTGGGCTGTACAACTTATATTTGTAGAACACATAAACGGCCTGGTTTTACAACTTTCTTGAACATTTGGCAACCTAATAATAATGGCAAAAATGCTAGGGATAAGGCAGTTTTCCCAGACTTGGAATTAGCAAAGGAGATAAGATGAAAGAAAAACTTAAAACATAAAATGCCTTCTTCTAAGTCTTTCACTGGGTAAAAAATAAAAAATAATAGGCTGACGAGATGAAAAGAGGGATGCCTAAACCCATCCACGGGCATTCTGAAAAACCTCCTATGACATAGATCATCTTAAAGGAAGAAGCAGACAGATATAGCATAGAAGCCAAAATCCATTTACCTGAATATTCTACCTAAGAATGCTCCCAGGACCCACTGACAGCTAGCTAAACTCTACAAAGTAGAATTTCACCCAGAAAGAGTTCCTAGATACCCTGGAGTAATCACACAAAAACAGTTATCTTCTATCAGCAAAGCAATATCAAAGATTCAACCAGAGTATCAGAATTAAGACAGTTTACCTTTCTTAGGAGTTATCAACTAGCATTACTAAATCTCCTTCCCTAGAGATTCTAACAAGTAAAATAGTGCCCAGGAGTGTTTAAGTATTTTCCTAGAAAAGGTGCATGTCAAGAAAATTTACTGAATACATGAGTACAATTCTGTACTATGAGTTACAAAGAAAGATATAATACAACAAAAAGATGACAAGTTCCCTGTGGATCATAAACCTATATTCAACCTTATCAAAGAAATAGAAGACACATGAAAATGACTGAACAGTACAACACATTTATAAGTAGAAATAAGAGAAACCAAGTAGTTTCTACCTATAGATATAGATAGATATATGTACTCAGAGCCAAATAGATAGATGTTATAAGAGAACACTTTCTGAAGAATGCTTTGCAGGCCAGGTGTGGTGGCTTGTGTCTGTGATCCCAGCACTTTGGGAGACCAGGGTGGGAGGATCGCTTGAGCTTAGGAGTTTGAGACCAACCTGAGTAACATAGGGAGGACCCATCTCCACAAAAATTAAACAAAATTAGCCAGGTGTGGTAGCACATGCCTGTAGTCCCAGCTACTCAGGAGGCTGAGACAGGAGGGTCACTTTAGTTAGCCCAGACCACTGCACTCCAGCCTGGATGACAAAGTAGACCCTGTCTCTCTCTCTCTCTCTCTCTCTCTCTCACACACACACACACACACACACACACTCTTTCTCTTTCTCTCTCTCTCTCTCTCCACACACCCTCCCACAAAAGGCTATGCATAAAGTTAAATTTTGAGGCACATTAAAAAATACAGCAAGTGAATCGAAGGCAAAAAAAATCCCAAGAAAAGCTACAGGGGCACACATAGGAAATATCCCAACAAACACAGGGACAATAGGTGAAATAAAACACCAAAAGTTACCTTGCCCAGAACAGACAATTAAGGTCTAGGGGTTAGAATAAATAAACTTGACAGGAAAGGAGGTGGCAGAATGATGGAAGATGAAGAACCCTAGAAGTGATCCCGATGAGTCTGCGTCAACTACAATTTACACTATAGCATAATTTATGTTGAAAATAGTGTCAGGGCTGGATGCAGTGGCTGACTCCTATAATCTCAGCACTTTGGGAGGCCAAGGTGGGCAGACTGTTGTAGCCCAGGAGTTTGAGACCAGCCTGAGAAACATGGGCAAAACCCCATCTCTACTAAAAATACAAAAAATTAGCTGGGCGTGGTAGCAGGCACTTGCAGTCCCAGCTACTCAGGAGGCTGAGGTGGGAGGATCATTTAAGCCTGTGGGGTAAAGACTGTGGTGGGCCATGATCATGCCACTGCACTCCAGCCTAGACAATAGAGTAAGGCCCTGTTTCCAAAAAAAGGAAGGAAAGAAGGGAGGGGAGGGGAGGGGGGAAAGGGAAAAGAAAGGAGAGGAGGGGAGGAGGGGAGGGGAAAGGGGAGAGGGAGGA